TTTTTTTTTTTTTTTTTTTGCGTTGTGCTAACTAAACTCCTCCGTGATCAGGGGTTCACGACGTGGACATTGATTTGAGGCAACAAAAAGTAGTAGTGACGGGAAACGTTAACAGCGAGACGTTGATTAAGAAACTGACCAAGGCGGGGAAGCATGCAGAGTTATGGCCCCAAAAACCAGATTCCAAAAAGAAAAAACAAGACAAACAAAGCGACCATGAAAGCAGCGAAGGAATTAACCAAGACGATACAGAGCCTGTTCAAGTTGAAGCCCCTGCCACTGATGATAACAACGTTAAAAACAGCGAGGGACGCGCTGGGGCTAACGTTAACAAAGCCAACGAATTACCATGCGCCACCGGTAAAACCGCTGTTCAGTTTCAGGAACCCACAAAGCACGAGGTGAGGCACACCGTCATAGTACCACCGCCGGAACCGGTAACCAAGAAAAACGTCAGCATCGCAGTTCAAGTTCCTAACGACAATGAAGCAACCGCGAATGATAATGATAATAAAACCGGTGTTGCCGGTGGCGGTACTGCAGGGAAAAAGAAGAAAAAGAAGGTGACCGGGAAAGCGGGTAATATTAATATTAATAATAACAACGAGGGTGCTAGTGCTAGTGCTAGTTTTACGGTTGAACAACATAGTGATGCCCCTGCAAACGGTGATTCCGGTAACCAGTCACACGTTCATGGGCGAGGAGTTCAAGTTCCATTTTCGAGGCCAGCCAATGAGAGTCCTCCACGTCATCAGATTTACCGTGAGTACGCACCCCCACCGCATTACTATGCTCCTCCTCCACTTGTTCATACGGTGAGCTATCATACGGCGCATCCAAGTAGCAGCTACGGTGCAGCGTATTACGCCTCTCCACAACCGTATTCGTACGCCCACGTGGTGCGCCCAGGGAACGAAATGGAACCTCCACCACCGTATATGTACGAACCGGAATCGTATACTTATACTTCATCGCAGCGGTCTAATTCGTTCGAGCTATTTAGCGATGAGAATCCTAATGCGTGCTCACTCATGTGAGTCTGAGACCTATTGCGCTCAATCATTGCTTTACGCATACAACTTGTATCACCATCGACTCATTTTTTAAATATACAAGAATATATCAACTTGGAGGGCCCTAGAAGCCAATCTCCAGAAGAAGCTGAGTGTATTGTGAGGTGGAATTGACATTTTTCAGAGGAGAATGAAAACGCTTTAAATTTTTGTTAAACATATATAAACATGAGCTTCGTTGGGCAGGTTTCCTTTTGAATACAATTGGTACTTTAGTAGTTGCTTTGCAATATACATTTTGCCTTTCTTAGCTAATTATGCTGTTAAGGAATTTTCAGCTGTCCCTCGAGAGTAAGGCTTGTGTAAACTTCCTTTGAAAGCAAAAGTCTTCTAGTGTGAAAAGACTTATCAACATCTTTAGGAGGGAAAAAAAAAGTTTAATTATTTCTTTGGGTAATTACTTTGTTCACTGTCTTTGTTCTCAACTCATCTGATTAAGACTTGGGGGCAGCTAGATTCCACGTTGATATTTAAAGCAATTCTTTCTTTATGAGGTGTTGGGTGTAGTTGCACTTTGCGCTTTGTTTAGGCAAATGAAATTTTTATCTTTTCCTTGTCTGCTTGATCACGAAAGTTAAAAAGGTTGTCACAAAGATGAGAATATTGATCAACATAAAGCAAAATAATCATTATTCAATTGATCAATTTATACTATATTATTTTTCAATTGAAATACGATTCATTATTATTCATGCACTCACTAACCAATGCGGTACCCATATTCTATTCTCTGGCGTGTTGGGATGGGACGAACACTGCCTTTCTTTGGAGTTGCAATTTGTGGGTCTAACTTTATAAGGAAAATATTAATTAAAAATTGAGTGAAATTACTAAAACCATTAAAATCTTCTATAGATCTCGGGAAAGCTCTTTCTGGCTTCGATTCTGGTGTCACCTTGAAGCTTATTGGACATCCCTAGATTATTTTTAGCCGAAGAGAATTTTCACCAAATTATTCTTATTCTTTCACGATAAAAGTAGACCACACATATGCAAAAATCCAGATTTATAAAATCGACGAGAAACAATTCAAATTTTGCTAGAACAAGTTATTGTGATGAAAGATATATTAAATTGCATCTCGCGAGTCCAATAAATAGGTTGAACAAGATTTTCACTTTTTTTTTTTGAAGTTCAATTGCTGCTACGATTAGATCACGTGTTTTAAAAAACAATTAACTATTCAGTATTTAATAGTATTTATCAGTCTTTCAGGTTGAACCGGTCTCATAGCATCATAATCTTTTATGGGAGACATGAGACATCGATATTTCACATTAGTTCTAGATGTGGTTTCTTATGTTTAGTAAGAAGTTAATAGATGGTAGTTATAATTTCTTATTTTTCAATGGGTTTCTAAATAGATTAACATAATTTACAAAAAAAAAAAATCACTTAACTAAAAACACTGCAGCATTTTTATTAGTTAGTTTTTAGACTTATAAATAAGTTATTCACATTTTGTATCCGGTCCTTTTGAGAGGAAGTCTGAATGGAATAATCGAATAATAGTAACGAAGAAGCTTAGTAACGATAATGGTAGCGGTTAGTCAATCAGGCTCCCATTATCTATTATGATGACCTATTTGCATATTCTCTCTTGTCATATCATTTTTTTCCATAGAGGAATCTGATTCCTTTATTCAATATTCAATCTACCTTCTTATATTAGCATCACGGTTTCGTTCACACGTTGAAACCTTATCCGAAGATGATGTTTGACTTCATGTGAAAATGTCAACTTAGAAAGTTATTAGAAGGGGTTTCAATTAGGGGTGAGCAACGGGTGGGTTTGGTCGGGTTCTAATAATCCATGATTATTATGATAAATTTATTTATTTTTAGCATAAGTTTGACTGTAAATAAATTATAAATTTAAAATTGAAAAGACATTTTTTTAGAATGTATCTGAATTCAATTTATAATAATAATAATAATATGATAATAATAATAATAATAATAATAAGTTAGTTTAGTATAAATTATAGTATAATTCAAACTTAAGAACTATAGTTCACTAAAATATAAAATAGTTTAATTCAATTTTTTTGGAACTATTTTTTAGTTCAATTCAATTTAATCAAACTACAATTTTAATTTAGTTTAGTTCACATATAATTTAATTTAGTTCAACTATTTCAACAGCCTTACTCCCAATAACACAAGCAAGATCCTAATGGCATGCTTGGGCTATCAACAAAAACCCACCTAGAAGGTTATTGTGAGGGGCATATGGAGGTTGGATTGGAGTTGAATTAGAATGAATTCGTTATTTAATTTAGTTAAAATTTAATAAGTTAGGTTTGTGTATTTTTTATTTTTTATAATAAAATTCAACTAAACTTAAATAGGTTGGATTGTGTTAGATAAATTGAGTCAAATATAATTAAATTTATTTATTTTAAAAAATTAAATTTCATAATAGATGTAAATTATTTAATATCTTGTTTTAAATATAATGATATTAACTCATAAAATAAATAATAATACAAATTAAATTCAAAAATAAATTTATTGATTTGTTACATTGTTATTAGCTCAAATAGTTAACAAGAGACTCACACAAAGAATATAGTAAAGAGGATGATTGGCCATCAGTCTAAAATTAAAAGTTACAGATGAGTTCATTCCCAAGCATAATGAAGACTATATATGATAGTCCAAAATTTCTCTCCCAAGTTAGAGAACCCTTGAGTTTAAAGAATAAAATTTAATCATAATTATTAATTAAAATTAACAGTTGATATTATAATTAATTTTAAATTTTATTATAAAAAAATTATAATATTTTTTTATTGTTCATTTTTTCATCAATAATTTATCTTTTAAAGTGTATCTCCACATTTTTACATCTATTTCTTTTGGATGTATATTTTTTTATACTAATTTCTTAGAATATAATATAATATCTTTTATTTGTTTAATATCATTATACTTAGAAATTATAATTGTAAGACATGGGATGAAAGTAAAATACAACTAAAAAATATATGAAATTAACAACAACACCATTTTCTATTTTTTAACTATGTTATTGATATAAATTATCTACTAACTTCATTGATAACTAATCTTTATCAAAGAACCTTAATAATAAAATTATTGTAATAAAATAATTATATATAAAGAGAGAGGAAAAATCCATTTATTCTATGAGTAAATTTTGATAGATTTATTTCACTTAACAATATAACTATTAAATTAAAAAGTTTTTAATGCATAAATAAAATTTACAAAATTTTAAGAAATTTGAAAACATATAATACTTCATTATACAAATTTGAATTCGCATATAAAATGTTTTTAAGATTAACCATTCATTTGAATTAATAAAATAAAATATTAAATAATTTGAAATTTCTTAATAATTTGTGAACTTGATATTTACATTAAATTTTTTTATTTAATAATTTAATTATTAAAATTTAAATATAAAATATGAATTATTGAGTAAAATAAATCTACTAAAACTTATTTTTAAAATAAATAATCCTCTTTCTCTATATATAAATGTATTCAACTTAATTAATTGAATTATTATAAATTTTAGTGTTGTTTTCATTTGAATGTAAATAAATTATAAATTTAAAATTGAAAAGACATTTTTTTAGAATGTATCTGAATTCAATTTATAATAATAATAATAATATGATAATAATAATAATAATAATAATCCTAAGAAAAACTTCTTTTGCTGTAAATTGGGTTCTGTTTTGACAAAGAAAGAAAGAAAATGTATTATTTCAGTAGGGCATTTTTTCTTGATGTTTGGGTTCAGAAGTAGCTCATTTCATAATAAGGTTTTGTCTTGACCTGCTTTATCCATGGATTGATTTGAGCTTGGGCTGGCCCAAATTTGCAATATGGGCCTTCCTGGTGTACTCTTTCACTTGTTGCAAACTCGTAATTCTCCCAATTCCATTAAACTAACTACCATGGGCACCCCCAATTAGCCAAGATTTTGCACCAAGAATAATCCAACAAAAATAAGAAGAAAAAAACATGGAGGGGGAGAAAACAGGGTTTTGAAATCCTGTCACCACTTGCGCAACACGACGTTGACATGTGTGTTACTTATTGTTGTCGCATGTGTGAACGTGTATGCCATGTGTGTGTCCTAGACTCCTAGCCTTATTGTTTCTTGTACCTGCTCAAGGATACACTCGTAGTCTTCTTGGTAAGAAGGGCCGAACGGATACTTCAAACGGATTCTTCAGAGGGGGGAGGCACCTGCAAAAGGCACTCCAACGCTCAAGTCAGGATAAGCACGATATTCTAGGATAATTAATGAACAGTGACATACCTTGTTACGTGTGACCTATTTATAGCATCTGACATGGGCCTGAGCGTGATGGGCCCTCTCAGATATTTACCAAATTAGGTAATACGGTACTAATTGGTCGTTTAGGCTTTAATCATGTACTTACCTTTCTTGATTGTGATTACTTGTTATGACTTGCTTAACCCTTCGGCAAGAGGCCGAGCCGGCTAATCAATACTAGTCGGAACGGCAAATGACCGAGCCGTCTAGTCCGTATACGGCAGCCTGTATACTTCCGGTATGTTCTATGTCGGAACGGTACCTGACCGAGCCGACTCGATGAATGATGATGGTCCATATTTGCATTAACCAGACTGATGTCGGTTCTCGGCCTCATGCCGAGCCGACGTTGATGGTGATGCTTGTACGTGGCTATGCATGGGTGTCTGACGAAATGGCACGTGTTGGCCCACGTGACCGATACGGTCTCTCCGGTACA